TTGGGTATTAGGAAGAATGTCTTCACCGACAGGGTTGTCATGCACTGGAAGAGGCTATCTGGGGAAGCGGTGGAGTTCCCATCCTTGAAGGTATTTCAAAGACGTGTAGATGTGGTGTGTAGGGACGTGGTTTACTGCTGGGCTTGGCAGTGCTAAGTTAACAGTTGGACTCAATCTTAAAGGTCTCTTCCGACCTAAATGACTGATTCTATACTCCACTCAGTTTTCATTATTACCTTGTTTGTTAATCGCTACGGGTAAAGAGGCCATCCTGCTTGTAGCTTAAATTCATAATGGCAATTGCTTCTTTGTTTGGACCTCTGTGGATCTTTCTTTTAACTAACTCAAGCAGATTGTGTCTAAATAGCATTTTTTTAAATACAGCCTCTCTGTTGGCCAGCATGGTTGAAACACTTTGTAGTTAGTATGTCTGAGTTACTGCAACATCTTTCTCTGTCCTTGACAAATGTGAATTTGGCCTCTTTGTGTGTGTTAAGGAGTGCAGCTGAGGGATTACTTTCCTAGCGTGGCGCTTGCAGTGTAGCCTGATTGCTTGCGTCCTTTCACTCGACGTAAAAACAATTTGTTTGAAGTGATACAGAAAAGAGGAAGAAGTGCTTTATGATTTGCCTATACTGTGTCTCATTAGTACTTGGGTACTATGGAAATGTGATTCCCATTCTGATTGTCTGTTGCTGCCTGTTTCTTTTAACAAGATACTTGCAGAGAGCATGAGCGGGCTTATTCAGTGCTGCCGTGCACACCTGGGACGAAACGCCCATAAACATCGACTTGACAGCATCTTTGGTTTCCTTCAGATTTCCTGTTTGGCTGCTAGATTTTGGCTTGGGGTTTTTTGTTTGTTTTGTTTTGGATTGTGTGATGACTCCATAAGATACTTATGTAGTTATTTTCTGGAATGCCCACCTATATGTTTGACATTTATTCCCTTGTCTCTACATCACTTCATACTTAGATTGTAAGCTCTTTAAGGGCAGGATAGTCTTAAATTTCTAATGGTACATTCCCCTTGGTACAGTGGGTCATAGACTGGGGATTCCGTGTGCTATGCTAATAAAAATAACTAATTATTACTTTTTTTTTTAAATACAGTTCATAGAGGGGCCATTTGAAGAGTATTTAAAATGTTTGGAAAATCCACAGGTATGTTAACTTTGATTTATAATAGAAAACAGCACTTTTGTTGAAGTTGATGGCTAATTGGATTTCTTTTTTTCTCACAAATGTTTTTGACTGAGCTTCAGAGATCTTTGGATTATGTAAATATATACTTTTATGTGTGTACTCAATTGTAAAATGATTTGGGCAATTTTTTTTGTGTCTTGATTTAAACCTGTTATTCCTCAAAATTGTACCCAAACGTTTCTAGCCTCCTCAGATGCCTACAAACATAGCATGGTTAGCTGTTTCTTGAAGAGGGCCTTGAATAAAGGTCTGAAAGTTTAGGTGATGAAAAGATAGCTACTAATGTGAGGGATGTTATGAACAGTAGCGGCAGACTCTTACGAAGACACTGATTAGAAGCAAAGTTATTGTTATCCCCACCCCCCAATTTAATTTTAGTATTTTTATTAGGGAGTTAACAGTTTGTGTTAGCTGAGGGTGGGGGGAGAGGACTATCTAGTGCAACATTGCGAAATCTGTTTATTTTTTTTAAGCATTTGTGCATAAATTTTATTAAACTTTTGCCTCCTAGAAATTAAAACATGATTTTATTTTTTTCCCCAGCTGCCATGCCTACACCATCCCTAGTTAGAATGGCTAACCAGATGGTTCTTTAAATCAGTTTCTAGAATGAATGTTGGAAGGGGGGAAAAAAGTGGGTGTTAGTCTGTTCTGCTTCTGTCCTGCTTTGTTTATTCCACGATTTTTAATTGCAAAGCTTTGTCAGTCAAATCCCAAGGTTGTATGCTATACTAAATGGTAAATCATGCTGTTTTCCAGTAGAACTTATGCTGCGCTAAACTATACCAATGTAAATGGTTTACAGCACTGCACTATGTGTATAGAAAATGTCTTTCATACATGTTTGCTAATGTTTAAAAAAATCTTTTTGATAAAATAATACAGTGGCTTTTTTACAGGATCAGAGAAATTAATATTAAATTATTCTATATTTTAAGTGTCATGAGAATTAAAAAAATTATTTTAAAATCAGACTGCAACAAATTCCTACCCCAAACTTAATTTGAGTTGTTTCTAATTTATTAGAATTAAAAAAAAAAATTAAAAAACCCCAAACCAAAAATGAGGAAGATCTAGTCACATCATACTAGAGCACTACACAGCGGTTAGGCTAGCAATGGAAGCAACAACTTTTACTCTTCTTATGATTTGGGTCTGGATTATGGTATTAATGACACTTCAGTGTTTGACAGCTTTAAAGGGCAGACTTTTGGTCTGTCTTGGTACTGGTGCACAGCTGCTTGCATGAGAAATGCAACTATCCCAGATTTATTTTGGCTGTTTGGAAGTGGTCTCTGTTGGAGCACTTCACAAGACCATGTCAACATGTTTGAACGGAATTTATCTGTGTTTTAGGCATGAGAGTTAACCCTCGAGGTTCTTTTTCATCTTTTTCATCTATAGCCGAAGGCCCACAAAAGCAGACAGTTTTGAAGGTAGAGAGTAAGATTTTTAAAAGTACTTGGTAGATTTGACACATTTTTCAAAAATCACTTTTGAAAAACTAGACCGCTGGTTGTTTAAGTTTAGCAAAAGAAAAAAACCCAAACCCTAACTATATCACCTTTCAAAATCTTACCCTTTAATGGTAGATCTGAATTTATGTGATTGTTTTTAGTTCTCTCAGTTTTCATACAGTTCCATTTTTAGTTTGGGACAAAATCCTTCTACCTTGTACCTCTTAACCACCTTTCTGGAATAGTTATTTAAAAAAAACTTCAAATACAATGAAAGTGCCTTGGCTGAACTCCAGTCTGAGTGTTAATATGTTTATTTTTGACAATGATTTCTTGCTTCTCTTGTTTTGCACATGAGGAAGTATAATAATTGTGTGTTTGAACTTAATTTTATTTTTTTAATACAGGAATGGGTTGGACAAGTAGAAATAAGTGCCCTTTCTCTTATGTACAAGTAAGAAAACCTTTAAATATGTTTTTATTATTATTGAGATCAGTTCAGTTGTTTTGTTAGTGAATCAGTTGGAATAGCAAAGATGGAATTGTAATTTTCTGGAGAACTTCATAAAACATACAAATATGCTTTGAAAATTGTAGTTGTCAAGGTATTAAATAAAAATAGGAAAGTGAGCTTTGAAAATGACATTTAATCTGGAGTTCGAATACAGGTTTGTGATAATGTCATGCATCTCACCTGCCCAACTAGTTGTGGGTAGTCATAAAGTTTGTATTTTGTTAATTTTCCTATCTTAATTTTTCTGTTAGAATTGCTTTTCTTCCTATTTCTCACCAAGGCTTTAATATTAACCCTATTGCTAAGTTGAGGGCAGTACCCATCTCTTCACCGCATTTGTACAGAGCTAGTAATGTAGCTTAGTGGTATGAGTATTGTAGGCTGTGTGCTAGAAAGCCATTCTCACACCTCCCCTGGTTTGAAGTTGTGAGAACTGCAGAGTTGAACACTCAGGGATTGTTACAGCCATACTTGTTTTGGGAAGACTGGCTTCTATTAAAAGGGCAATTTAAAGGCTCTGGGAAAGTAGGAATGGTGATGGAGGTAGGAGGAAAGAGTTCCTTCCCTTCCTGCATGGTGGCAGACTGCAGGAAAGCAAAAATATGAATTTCCTGTTCTGTGCCAACTGGAGAAGTGAGAGACTTTCAGACTTCTCAAGCATAGGATAGAAATGCAGTATGAATAGTTGTCTTTTAATTTTCACTCCTCAGATCTGTTTGAAGTGTAACTTCGTTATTTAGTAAATTTTCCTTGCCTCCCTGAAGCAGGTGGGTCTGAGCTATGAAATTCTTTTCCTCTCAGAATTGCTTTTTCTGAGTTGTTGTAGACACTTTGGTGGTTCTTTTTCTTTTGAATCCAAAAACTACACCTTTGAATATACATAATCGTTTTGCAAGACTGAAAACTTGTGCTTGTGTGAGCAAGGAAGAAGTTGAAGGAAGCGATAGGTTGCTGAGCGAGCATTCAAAGGGAGGATTATGGATAAAAGAGGGAGAAAATAATTACATTTAAGATTGTGACAGAGATTATAGCAGAAAAACAAGTAGCAAAGATTGATAGTCTTTCAGTTTTTAGAAAATAAAAAACCAAATAGCTTGTCATGTCGGTATCACCTGTGGATTTTCATGTGTTTGTCACTTTATATCTAGTTCAACTTTTTATGCCTTTTAATCTAATAAACTAAAAAAAGAATTATAAGTGTGGAATGTAAACTTTAAACTTGCTCAACTGTAGTAGCCCAGCTCTTCATTATGGTATTTTTAATCTTAAATGTAATGAAGTACCCAAACTTAGTTTGCAGTGACAAAAATTTCCTAAACCTCTTTTGAAAAACTATACTAGACAGATACCCTTGACGGTGAGTAGATGCCAACACTGCAGTGGCACACTGTCTGCTGGTTCGGTCCAAACTTCCCAAAAAGTTCGTTTCCATTCTTTTGGATGAAGAGACAATGGAGGGGTTTCTTTGCCACTTTAAATCCAGCAGTTTGAGTCTAAGAAACACAATGTGGTGTTAGACTCCATGCTTCGTGAAGTCTTTATCCAAAGAGAAAGGGAGGCTGAGCCCTCTAAATGCCTTTTTTTGCAGTGTATTATCCATTTTGAAATGCAGGAAAAGATTCTTCTCGCTCTATATTAAAAAAACTGAGACGTGGAGGGCATGATTTTCAGAGGTGCTGGAGACAGTATGTGATCCTCAGGCATGTGATGCTGCTGATGGTCAGTGGGGCTTTTGGCATGCTCCTTAGCACGCTGTGGCAGCTGGGCCACGATTTGGGAGCAGAAGCGTTGTGTGGACCCTTCTGAGCTTGAGAACTTGGTCTGGGAGGCAGGAAGAGTTTCTGAGCACGAACATGGGCTGTTCTGTTAGCTGGCCTCCATGCCCAGAAGGGTTCTTGCACGCATGTAATCAGTCTGCTAGTACATATTTAGCCTAAGCCATTGCTCACTTTCTGGAAACTTCCCACCGTTTCCTGTCTCTGTTCATAAAACCAACCTTCTCTTCGTTCTGGTGGATTTCCAAATGGCAAAGTGTAATGAATTTTTCCAGGACTAGGGAGTCATCTTTCTAGACACAACTCCAGAAAGCGGTATCTGGAAATTTGTTTTACTTGTCATTGGCTCTGTGCTTGTTGTGCTGGCACATCTTACTCTAGTATATTCTTTCATGAACGTAAGCCTTTTTTTGACCAGTGAAAGTTGTATTCATCTTCTTCAGTATTCCTTTCCACTAGGTATTTTCTGTGGGTATGTATGTTCCTTGAACTTGACTTGAATATTTGAATTTTTATTGATACTAATTTTTAAATGACTTCTTAACTGCTACTTTTTTCTCAGGAAAGATTTCATAATATACCGGGAACCAAATGCTTCTCCTTCACATGTAACTGAAAATGGCTTTTCCGATAAGGTAAAAAAAATTTCATGACTATTGTGAAAGGCTGAATTAAGACTACTTTAAAAGTAGTTTCATGCGAGTTCTATTATTCAACACAATGAAATGTTCTGAGGATTTAATTGTAACAATTTCAACAATTTCTTTTCTACATATTTAAGACATCTGTTAATATATGTAGCACTTCTTTTTAAATAGATGGTGCATATTTGGGGTGTGATATATCTTATTAGTAATGTAAAATTCTCTAAAAATCAATTTACAAGCACTAACTTGCATAGCTACCCCTGTCATAAATTCTTTTTGACTTTCAGTCAAATTCTTTTTGGTTTAAAGGATATCCATTAAACTTCTTGATCGTTCTATTGATACTTTGAGATCCTGAGGGAGAACGAAACACATTGGTACATTAAACTGAATTTAAAAGGTAGTGCTCATATGAAAAATCAAGTGAGATGCAAAACCTAAAATATGTGTGGGTTTTTTAATAGGTGTTGCTGTGCTTCTCAAATGGAAACCACTATGATATTGTTTATCCCATAGAGTATTCAGAAAAGGCTGCTCTGTGCCAGTGTAAGTATTATGTTGGTTAGTTAAAAGCATGTATTTTTACCAAAAATCTTAAAACGATCACTGTCAAGTTTCAGGAAAAGGCTCTGTATGAAAGTTTATTATGGTCATTCTTTAGTAGCTTAGTTTTCTGTTTGAATTGTCAATGACTGTATGATTTTGCGAGAGCATGAATTCTTACTGTGTCCTGACTCAGCGGATTAAATACCAAGGGAAGACTTATCTGCCTCTTTGAGTCTGGGTGGTCTAATGTGCACAGAAAGTGTTGGTGTACTAATTTGTGTTCTATTGTGTTGTCTTTGGTCAGCATTCTGGTTTTAATGGTGTATTTCAGACTATGATAGCAAAGTAGTTTTTTGCATGAAAATTATCCTTGCATGTGTATCTTGTCACAGAAATTAGAGGGGTTGCACGTGCAAAAAAGAACTGTCTTCATGGATTATTGTTTTCTTTACTAGATTGCAGAAATGTCCAAAGGTCCTTATCAGGTTTGATGGGTCACTGTGACAATCCCTACAAGGTTTCTAATTCTTCATGAAATATCTGCCTATGTGCAGAGTTACAAGGCTAAGGCCAAATTTGCCTATCAAGAGACCTGATATCTAGTAGTTTAATGCATACCCATTAAGCCATAGTAGCTGCAGCTGGTTTTGCTTGTAATGCCTTTACTCTTTCAGTTAACACATCAAAATGCTTGCTTGCTTTGATTGAAGTAATTTGAAATGCATCTGTAACGGTGGTATAAAAACCTCATTTACCTTGTAATTGATTTTGCCCTTCCACTTTTTCTTCCTCTTCCCCAGCTCTGCTGTATGAATTGCTTTATGAGAAAGTGTTTGATACAGATGTAAAGAAAATCATAGCAGAACTTAGTGCTGTTGGTGTGACAGAGGAAAGTAACGGTAGCAGCGGAGTATCAGCTTCAGATTCAGAAGATGACAACTACAGGTAAAAAGAACTTAAAAGTTAACGTAAGATGCCTGTGAGCAATACGTGTTACATGAGTTTTCTGAATTTCTGGTGGGTGGTGATATCTAACAGTTAGGGTTGAAAAGCTTTACAAATTACTAAGAAAAGAAACTCAAAAAGGTAAGGTTAGAACTATGAAGGAATGAAATGTGTAATCTTCCCTGTACTTAAGGACAGGGTTCTGGTTCCTCTGTTTTTTCCTGCAGTCTAGCTTTGGTTCTCTTTACATAATGGACTATTGCCATTGCAACACATCCCTCTTCCTGTTTAAAACAACAGAATCCCCTGGGAGAGCTGTCAGTGTGCCAGTCTGGCACGGTAAACGCCATGAGAATTACTTGGCTTGCTCTTGCAACTGAGTAGAGTTACAGGAATCTAATCCAACTTGTGTTTCTTCCACATCTGGGGGTTGAAATGTCTGCTGGAGATGTAGCTAATGGAGAAGTACAGATGCAGCTTGCTTCATTTTGTTCCTTGATCTTTGTGAACTGATTGTATTTGTGGGTTGTATTCCCTTTGCTGGATCTGGGTGCTTTAGCTAGCTTTGAGATTTTGACCTTCCTTTTGCACAGGAAGCCTTTCACAGTGCTGTTTTTGCATTTACATATTGGCAGTTTTATTTCTGTTTAACACTGTTCTTAAAACCCTGGCTTGTGTGAAATTCCATTGAAGCCATGGTGATTATGTAATATTAGTGCATCGTGTCCCCTCTTGATGCTGAACGTCATTAAAGTTCTTTTCTAGGGGCTCTGCTGTAGTCTGTGTGGCATGTGGCAGACGAAATTCTTTGAGATGTTGGGAGCTGATTTTTTTTCCTTAAGCTGGAAACAACAGAATGGAAGATGATGGAAGTCACCACAGAAAGAAAACCGATTTCTGGGAAAGGGATTAGCTTCCCTTCTTGTTTGCAAAAAAAAATACTAGGGAACATTTCCAATTAAAATACAAAGTGTTTCTGCTCGGGGAACAATTATTGTAGTTAAATGTCAGAGAGTGGAAACCTTCTTTATTCCTTTCTGTTCTTGGAGCTTTCCTTGGCTTTGTATACGGTAGCATTACCCTGTATCTTTGGGATTAATAAGAAAATATACTGACAACCTCCATTTACAAGGGTGCTACGGAGGTCATATACTCACTCGAGACTGGCAAACTGAATGTTACTGATTTAAACCGTATGTCTTATCACGCAAGAGCTAGTGTGTGTAACTCTTGACCTAGTTAACACAAATTACAAACACTTTGCTGTGTTTATGAAGTCTTAAATTTTTTGCTTGTCTTTAAAGTTGACTTCAGCTTGTTTCATTACCTAGTTTTTCAGACGATCTTTTTCAGTTTATAAATGTGAACTTTTCAGTTACGTTGTTATTAAATGTAATAGTTTATTTTTGTTCTTGGGAGATGTTAGTGCTGATAGTTGCTTAGAACTGCTGTAGGGA